AACGAAAAAATCGAATCGTCGACGAATTATCAATTTACTATTCATTGCTGAAAAATCTCGCGAAAGGAAACGTCTACTTTTTGTTTCTATCGCGGTATTTGTACACATATACCGGTCCGAAACGATGATCCGTACCTAAACCTCGACGCATTGATGTAAAGTATCGATATAATGTAAAAATATTTTTATTTCTCATAATATACGTAGGTTAATTATGATTTCTAACGATACAAATTTAACTTATAAACAATTATATCTGTAATAAGCTAGATATAGTATAGATATATTAATATTATATCGAAATAATTAATAGTTTTGAAAATATTTAGATGAATATCCGAATTACAGCTGTTTTACTAGCATGCGGTTTGTGGTGTCAGGACTGTCAACAAAGCGTCTAAAAGTGGGGATAGGCGGTCCTAGCGAAGGACCCCTCTTGCCCCTGTGCCGTCCCGCGAGACTTCTTTCCAACGGTAGAACGGTACTCGTGCACTCGTCGCTTTCCACCCGAATATATCTAACTTTACCTTCGACTCGCCAACGATTTTCGAATCGTCGCTCGCCACGAACCGAATTAAGACGTTCCGTTCGAGCGTCGAGAAAAGATAATTGGTATCCTCGCGCGACGCAATCGTAGTGTATAATTAAAAAAAGAGAAAAGAAACGAAAAGAGAAGAAAAAAAAAAAAAAACACAGACACAAGGTGCGCCCTGTTCGTCGACGTTTTACAAACGAGGCTCGTATCGCGTAGGCCGACATCTCGATTAACGGACGAGAGCGCGATCGTCGCGAGCGATCGTGCGTGCCTGCCTATATCTTGTCACCGGTTCGCATGCAGGTAAGTCGCAGGGTCGCAGCTGACCCGGCTTCAGCGCCGGCCTTAATCGTTATCGGGTGGTGCTCGTAACCGGTAATTACAGGTGGCACCGGCCGAAACCACCTGTTACTTACCCGTACGTACGAGTTATAAGCTTGCGTACTCTCTCGCCTGTACCCAAAAAAAGAAAAAAAAAAAAAAAAAAAAACGCGAAACGGGAGGAAAAGCAAAAGATCTTTTCTCGCCGTTCGTTTACCGATATTTGAGAGGTAACGCGACACGTGGACGGATGACTAAGGAGGAAAAAGATAATTGCTCTCGCGGACAAAGAAAACGCGCTTTTGTCTCGTGCCGCGTGTTTAACCATTGAATCATCGTGAACCGCTTTGTATTATTGTGCTCGTAGAGCGGAAAAAAGGAGAGAGAAAAAAAAAAAAAAAAAAGAAGGCGAGTAAATTTCGCGCAAACCGATGAATCGATCCTTTCTCGTGTGGCGATGTACAACGTTGTTGCGTAACCGTTACCGTACGATGCACCGTGATTTTATTCGCGGAAATGAAAACACGTACACGTGTTTACGTGTAATACGCGAAGGATGGAAGGATTGCGTCCATTTCTTCGCGACACGCGGCCCGATATTCGAAGCGAGACGAGTTCTCTCGAGTTATCCCCTCCCCTCTCCTTCTCCTGAGAAGGAAGGAGGTCCCGGAAACGAAGGCTTTCGATCGTCACGAAACGTAAACGCGTAACGCGTGGTCGTCACGGGCCGGGGCGTTGCCGGCTGTATATTAATTAACCGCGGTGACATCGTTCCGACTAATTGCCATTCTCGCGTGTCGTCCTCGGCCGCCGCTCTACGATTCATCGTGGAATCGTGGAACGCGTCCCTCAAGGCCAATTCGAGAACACATTTCTACGCATCTATTCCTCGATCGAGGGGACAGAATGCGAATTTCTTAATTTCTTAATTCGAGACGAGT